CCCAGTCTAACTACTTGGGACCTATTGTTAAGGAATGATTCAAGCCATCCTGATAATGGGTTACGTATTGCTAAGGAGTTGAGCTTATTTATTAGAAGCAAATGGTCAACGTGGTCGAAAGCTTACAAACTAATAGCAGGGGACTTCAGTGTTCCAGACGTCAACCTGTTAGGTAGTTTCGGCCCCCTACGCTTCGAGAAATTACTTGCCACCATAGGTTGCTATGGATGGTAACAATAAGTTCAGACACCTACCCATGGTGACAACATGTTGGAACTTGTGTTTTATCATCACACAGTCCCAGTCACTACCTATGGTGGTGACAGATTTCCCAGTAGTGTCCATAGAATGGTACTCTGATCTCTGCCTTTCCCACCACTAAATACAGGGAACAAACAACATTTAGGGAGAACAATATGCCGTAGTTACAAACCTGCAAACATACGGGGGACTACTCCAAGGAGTCATCAGAATCTGTCAATGGGATGAACATTTTACCTGGGAGCTGTAGTATTCCTATTTTACCCTTTGTCCAGACACTTTTGCTCCTAAGAAGGTGGTGAAATTAGGTGGACACCAAGGTGAATACATTCCAAGGGCATATCGCGATAAGTTAAAGCAGTTGATGAAACAGTACTATTCCACTGAGGATATATGAATACTGCACTCAACCCACGAGTCACTTGAATATATCAAGCTCCTACGCTGTCAAAAAGACCTCGACGAAGAGTTAAGTGCACTTAAAAGTACGTGACAACACTTCTTAAAAGACTAATACGGTCGACGAGGGACATTCCCTACTTCACAAGGGAGTAATCTACAGTAAGCCTGCCATCATCTATGAACTTTTCATTGGGTGGCTTGTGAACTATAGTTTAGAAACGCGCATCCCTGGTAAAACCACACCCCTTACTAGCTCCTTCCCCAGGATCATAGTGTTCACCGGTCAACTAATAAGACAAGCAGTTAAAAGACTGAGACCTGCTACTAGCACGGGACCGGTTGGCCTTGCTTCTATGATTTTCACAAACAGTGGGTGTGATATTACCCTATTAGTTCCTAAATTCTCAATATCTGTGGACACGGGCACTTATCCTAGTGAGTGGAAAACCAACCTCATAATTCCACACTGCAAATCTGGTGATAAGGCAAACGTTTGCAATTGCAGACCCACAAATATAACCCTAGTTGTCTCGCGAATCATCAAGAAAGTTGTCAAAGATCAATTGTCAGACCATCTTCTAAGGGAATATCTTGTTACAAGATCTAAGCGCGGATCGCTCGAAAATGGTTACTGCGTTACTTGTCACTTCGACATTTTCAACAGCATCACCAGTAGTCGTGAGGCACGTAAGCTAGTCGTTGTTCTCTACTTCGATATATCCAAGGCATTTGAAGTGGTACCTCGCAGTATTCTCTTTGAGAAGCTGTCCTCATGTGGAATTCGCATTCCATTACTTGACTGGTTAAAGTCATTTCTCAGCGACAAAATACAAATAACCAAAGTCGGATCAGTATTGCCTCATCCTAGGCAGATCACAAGAGGGATTCTGCAGGGTGGTGTCCTAGGACCACTTCCATTTACAGTCTACATCAACAGCATTTGTAACTGCTTAGCCTCGGGTAAACCATTCCTACATGCTGACTACCTCAAAGTCGTTTACCTATGCTACAGCCGTGAATTAAACGATATGGAAAGTAAAATACGTTATAAGTATAAAACTTGGGCACTGTGGTAGAGTATAATTCCATAATGGATAAGATTTTATTTTGATAAATCACACAGTGTAGTACAGTTATATTAACTGATGACGTTTCGAGCACAAACTATTGCTCATAATCATATCATAATCACAATCATATCATATCATAATCATATCATATGATTATGAGCAATAGTTTGTGCTCGAAACGTCATCAGTTAATATAACTGTACTACACTGTGTGATTTATCAAAATAAAATCTTATCCATTATGGAAGTAAAATACGTCTTGAACTAAGTAGTCTCGCATAATGGTGGGCTGAATCCTGTTTAAATTTTGACAATGACAAGTGCTGCTAGATTCGCGTCTGCAACAAGCTTGACCTAACACTTGAGGTAAATGGGCGAAAACTAGCCAAGCTCAACTCGGTCGCAGATCTCGGTATCAGATGCTCTAGTAATTTAACACACTTTGAACAAACCAATTATGCTAGATGTAAAACACAGACCCTCAGGATGCATAACCCGCAATTCCTCTTGTTGTGACACTGGGGTTTTACTATACACAGTATGTGTCCAATCTATGTTAGAATACTGCCCGTTTGTTCTTAGAGGACTCCAACAGAATGACAAGCTTAAATTAGAGGGAGTGTTATGGCAATTTACTCTAAGAGCTCTCGGTTTACAATGTAGTCTCGACTACTCTGAGCGTCGCGACGGACTGACAACAGAACCACTCTGGAAAAGACGTATTAAGCTAAACCTAATTTTCTACTACAAGCTAACTAATATTCTCTTGCACTCCTCCGGGCCAATAACTAAATCTACCGCTGTCATAAGTTACAATCTTAGAAATTATGACAACCCACTTGCTCTAGAGCATTGTCAGACTCACATGCGATAAACTTCTTCTTAAATAAGTTTTCAGTCATTCAGAACAGACCACCAGCTAATGTACGTGATGCAAATACACTTCCAGTGTTCATCTCCTCAGTCACTAGACTGCTGAAAGATGACAGTGCAGTCCTGCGCCTGACTACTACACCGTCTTTTTCACCCCACATAGATATTATAAGTTCACTAAACGTATAAGGTACAAAAACTACAGTTATAAATGTTAATGTTATTGGAAGGACACGATAAATATTTCTACACAGGACATTAATATTAATTCACACACATAGGATAATTTAACATGACGGGACTATTTAGTTAGTGTATTGACATAATTGTAGCCTCTACACAGAATATATGTATATGTATGTATTGGAATTTATAAATCACTCCTCGAGGACTCCACTTGCTTTCTTCTGTGCTGCCATTGTTTGTCCTCTTAATTTCTCCCGCCATTTCGGCTTCTATATGACTTTCTGGATGAGAGTAAAGAATGTGGATATTTGGCCATTTCCAATGACAAATGATCTGTAAACATTACTGGTCACATATCCTACAACTGCCCAGCAAATTACCTATAACCTTCCTCCGTGACGCATCCTGGATGACAGCTGTGGAATGTTACCTTTATACCGATATAAACCCCGATAACTGCCTGTACGACGCCAACAAATCTTGTCATTCAAGAAATAATGAACACATGATGATTGTTGCATTTGAAATCTCACTGACTCGCGCGATGATAATTTCCAGCTCCCACATGCTCCAGTTGCCATTCTATATGGACTAGTTCGCCATTATTCTGGTTCCTTGCCGCGTATAGCCTGAAAATTACCTATTGCTGTAACAACACTTCTTTGATTGACAGCGCCTGCTTACATATACGTTTTTCATGACCCTTTGAGGTACTGTTTACATTGATAAATTAAGACAGTCAATGGTAAATAGGATTCCAATGTCATAAGAGGGATGAGAGGAAATTAGGTCTGTAAATCAATAGGTGTGGGGGGAGAGTATTACAAGCAGACGTGTCAGAAGGGCACGCAGAAAACCAGGTCTATATATCCTCTCCAGAGTCCACCAACTTCATATACTTTCTGTTACCTGTATACCTTGCCACTTTCGAAAACGAGCTAACGCCGATTAAACCATCAATGGTGATTAGTTGTTTATTAGCTTGCGAATTAACTATACTGTACTGGAGAACTTACCAGACCGTCTGCAGTGGTAACAGTACTTCTTTGATGCAGTCTGTGGTTGAAAGCATTCTTTCCACTGCTGTGTCTGCTCCCCGTGAGTATTTTTGTTATTTTGCCAATCCGTTGATACGTTGGCACATGGTTTCTGTAGCCTCCAAGTTTCCAAGTAAATGCTTACTGTTTTTCTACACTATTGTGGTCTGTGGGGTAAACATCGTAAACATCATCGTAAACAGGGTGCGAGTAATATTAATGGGCACATGGTTTGAAGGATAGCGTCTACATCCTCTTTAGTGTTTGAGGGATACCTCTGCCACCTTTCAGTCAGCCATTTACACTAATTGCTAAAGATCACCTGAATAAACTAACTGCTCCTCGAGAACCTTTGGGTAAAGTTCAATCAAGTTCGATTAAGTGCATGTGTTCTGCCTATGCATTGGAACACGAGGCTTCTGTCAGTACACACAGAACAAATGCCAACTTCTATTGGTTACATTATAGCTGGTGCTACGTGTGGTTGTGATTGGTGTTATAGCCATATATGCTGACAGCGTCACTGGTTCCAACTGGAAATTCTGAGATATATCTTGGACACCGAACAGGTCATGGAATTCATAATGTACTAGTGAAATTTTTCCCAATTCATTTACACATCTAATGAGATTGAAATTGGAAAACATTACACTTACTACCAGGCAAAGCCGAAGAAACCAATAAGCAATGTGATGAGAAGTTCTAAGGAGGGTATCACATGCTATTTGACGTGCGAAAAACGCAGAACGGACTGATTATCATGCTGGTTTTGTAACGCAGCGATGATCAGATTTATTCACGGAGTTCCTTAACACAGAGAAGGAGAACAGATCTAATCTACCTTCTGTTTTCCCTTCCACATGGTCCAGACATCTTAAAGGACGAATCAGGAGAGTTTAAGGGCCTTTGAAGGACCACATCGCTGTAGAGAATTGGTTTTCTCACCGAGTCACCATACCGTATCCAAAACAGAGTGATGTCTGAGTTCTGAATGATTTCGTTGTGCGAGAAAATATAGAAGTGCAGATTAACAGCACAAAAATATTCATATGAGCTCGAAGAACACTGTCCAGAAGCAAAAATATGCACCTGAAGTTACGTGACCTTGTGTTTGTTTTATTTATCCACATGCAAAGCTCACACCGATATTTTCGCGTGCATTTTTTTCGAACGTTGTAAAGACATGCCTATTACATCAAAGGTTAGCTAGGTTCAGATTTTAAATATTTCAACACTAACACATCAGGCCTGAAAACACAAAGCATTGTATTGTATATTATAAGAAGGGTATCATTTTTAGTTTTATGAATCAGACGAAAAGTAAACGACCATTGAGTCAGTTACAAAAACATTCATACGAAACAAATAGGCGCCTTAGGCAAGTGTGCTTGAAATATTTTTGGATTAAGTTGCTGTAGAGACAATGTTGTCAAAGTCCAGAAGTACGAAGCACGTGAAGAGAATTTACGACAAAACGTATTGGAGAGCAGACGTTGTAAAATGAAGAAAATGATGGAATATCTAAGGAAAAGACCTGCTGATTGTGGTGGCAAAACAGTTTCATCACGTTTTAACTCCAATATAGACTGCAATGGATCACACTGGGAAAGTGACAACAGCTGGGGTACAGGAAAGTCGAATTCGAAAGAAGATGCTTCCGACCAGCTGGAGTTTGCTATGAGTCTACTTGCTCTAGGTGAAATTACCCATGAATCGGTTAGTCGGCTATATAGCGGAGTATTTCGCTACTTGGTTGTTTTCCACTCGTTTTTACCTGAATAGCTTAGTTTGTGAGTGTTTATTGCAAATTTCATAAAATGTACTTAACTGTATTCGTAGAATGTGGTATCATCACATGTAGATCCAGTTGAATACACATTTATTTAGATTATTTATGCGTTTGCCTGAAGCGAGAAGGTATCAGAGTAAGGTTATTAATCTTATTCATTTTACAAGTGAGATGTAGAATAATTTTTAAATGTACTAGGCGGTTTTTATTACTGAACATTTTTCTATGATACCAGGGCACATCTGATGTCTTGTTGTATGGACGTATGGAATTAGTTGATGAAATGTGCATGAATATTCTTGCTGGTTAAATATACACCCTCTTTTTTAATGGACATATTTATCGATATTAGAAATCCATTCAACAAGAATATTTCATACCACAGATGCCTATGCTTAAGTGCCCTATTTGTCATGATTGTTGTTTTTTGTCTCTTCATGAATGAGTTGGTGCATTTTTGAGTGCTTTTACTGATTGCAATCTTTGTATATTGATGCCTTCGGTTGCTAGAGAATTTCCACCAGTCACCGATATTTTCACAGTGGCTCACCACCTTTACCTAATCCAAATGTTCAAGCTTTTGGATAAACTGTTTGTTTCTGACGAAGGATCGGAGCCGAATATTTTGAAGTTTTAGTAAGACATTTAGTGTCTGGTTAATTGCTTATAATAAAGTGTGTTTATTGTCACTTACATCACTATGGTTTAAGTTTTTTAAATAAATACATCTGTCTTAACCGAACGTGATATCCGACTGACTGTCGACCAAAGGGCATGTGTATTGCTCAGCAGTCTGCTCCACCCTCCTTTATGGCTGTGAGACCCGGTCATTGAGAGTGGAGGACAAGAAAAGACTAGCTGTCTTTGATCATAGGTGCTTGCGTTCTATCTCCCGTGTGAGGTGGTATAATATAGTGAGCAATATTGAGGTTAGGCGTCGAGTGTTAGGTAAGGAGGGGAAATCAGTCGACGAGGCTGTAAAGCAGTTACATCGATTGGTATGGTTAGGACATGCGTAACGCATGCATAGCCATCACCTTCCTCGACTGACGGGCAATATTAGCTGGCATAGGACGCATCACGTTGGAAAAGAGCCAATGGTGGTGGTCAAAACAAAACATGGCTTCGTCATCAGTCAATGAAATCCACAACAGTTAGTTTAAGCCAACCAGCCACGTAGGGTGGTGTAGACTTTCTGACTGGCTGGTCGGGGTCTTCGGGACGGTAACCAGGAATAGCTGAAGACAATCGGTGATGCGGCTCAAAATCGTTCCCAATGATGCAGATGCATCCACTCCTTGTGACTTATAATATCCAATAAAACTATATTGTTCTTCGATACTACTATTCTTTTTGCCTCATATCTCTGTTTACTGTCTCTATTTTGCATTTCTTTTTACTTTCTTTTCTTGCTCTGTGTGCTACATGGAGTATGGTGACTTAAACTGCTGCACATCTGTGCAAAGTTCTATGCTGAACCTAGTCAGCCAGTCAGTATTGACTGAAGATATTTATGATTTCGTTCATCTGAACAGCAGGTAGCAAAATTTTGTATGCCTAGCAGAATTGATTTTGCATACTTTGCTTGCTTTTCAAAGTGATAACACACATGCCTGGTTGACAATTGATTTCACGAATAATCGTGCACATTATAAGAAAAGGCACTTCGCTGTAAGCACAGTATACACATGACTTTGTTCCTATTCACTCTGTTATAACTGGTGAATCGTTTTCAACCTGTTAACGTAAACGTCATTTAATCAGTAGTATATTTCATCATTCAAACTATTCCAGTACAAAAATGTTGAGGACTTTGATGTCTACACCAGTGGCAAGTTTCCTTAACATTTCAACCGGAGTTTCCGCGTGTTTATTACTGATTACGATATGAGGCAAATGGTCAACATTGGCTACCGATAATACTTAATGCGCGCGAAGAACGCACACAGCCATGCACACCTTGCAGTATGGGTTGGAAACAAATGACTCCTCATTGCTTACCATCAAGTCATTTTCCATATATTATTCTTCAAGTTATTAGGGCAATATACTTTTGGAAAACAGCCTCCCGAGTTTGAATTAGTTTTTATTTTAGTCTTAATTGAGGCTTATAAAATTTCGGAAATTTCTAAACACCTTCAGAGTTTCGGATATTCCGTCTTGATTCACACTTCAAGGTGTAGAACTCATCTGTATATTTTCGCTTGTTAATATTTGTACAAAGTCAGTTATGAGAACAATGAATCAGTTAATATGCTTCCTCTGCATACTTGATAGTGGTGTTACATGCGTAAACTGATATTGTCTAATTAACTAAGAGGCAAGTCTTCACGACTGCCTTCGTCACTATTCAAACACTGGTCGGAGTGCATGGATATTCATGAAGACAGCGACGACTGGTAATACTCTAGACATGAAAATAGCACTGATGTGTGTCGACTCAACAGTAATCCAATATGTCGTTAGAAAGGATAACTTCTCTCTTCTGACTAAATGATTTGTCAAGCGGGGACCAATGATATTGGATGCTGTTATACTTCAGAATGGGAGTAAAGTTGAATAGACACCAGTGGCCATCATGAATGAGTTGTTTGATTTGAAATGTGGATAACATGTTCAGTGTAAAACTAAGATAGTTTATTGACTGGAACTCGAGATCTGTGTGATTTTGAATGTGGAGAAGGATATTGATTCAGGAGTTACGTTGATATAAGTGACTGATGACGGTGTATGATAACGATTGGACAACATCGGGGGATATTTGTATCAGACCATTCACACACACTATCGTTCAGGTTCCATTTCATTCGGATTATGGTGTCGTGTGTGACAAATAATCTATTGGGTTGTCAGGAGGAATCTTCCTAACAGGATTATTTTTTTGATCTTCAATACAAAGTTCTAATCTCTCCTTTCAATATCACCCAGTTTTTCTGATCACCAGCCTGAAACAAAACACGGGAGTTTTCATTAAATTTTGTTCTAAGTGAAACTCTGACTTATCCATGGTATTGTGTTGCCAATATCTGAAGTGTTTTCAGTCTTATTGTTTTCTAGCTTCCTTTCTTGACAAATTAGCACTGAGGGAAATATATTTGAGTTTACTCTAGTATATCGTGGGTGGATGATTGTCACTAAAGGTGATCCCAACCGCCAAAATAAGTAGTGGTAATAGTACTGAGCTGATGAATGCTACTACTGTTATCATGACGAATAATTTAAATCAAATCTCTGGTAAGTGCCTCATCTGATGCTGTTGTACCTGTACGAGTGTGAATTATTCATCATAAGAGAATCATTTTGTTATGTTATTATTATTATTGTTATTATTGCCTTGGGTTCCGATTGGAACATAGATCTGACTTCAACAACACAACTCCACTTTCTTCTATTTTCTGCTATCCTCTTCAGCTGGCTCTCTCCACGATTGTTTATAATCTCTCACCCCCTTCTCACGCGATATCCTCCCTGTCACTATCGGACTGATAACCCACTCGTCCGTCGCTTCATATTTGGATTCCACTCAAGTGGTGTCTTGCATTGAGCGCGATGTCATTCGACAGCCTTCCTCCTGAATGTATGCCTGGTCAATCCATCTCCATTGTTTCCTGCATATTTGTTGAGCGATTGGTTCTTGGTTGGTCTGTTCCACTGCAGAGTTTCTTGTTACTAAATCTTTCTGGCCAGCTGGCCATTTGATCTTCAGTAAGGGGCCAGTGAAGGGGCTATCTTTTGATGAAAGTTGGCAGTTGCCTGTTGTAAATCCTTTTTGTGACACGCTGGTCAAGTTTCTGACCCGTATAGAAGCACTGACCGACTTGGCATTGGTGTTGAATAGAATCCGAATCTTGTTGTTTATGCTGGCTGAGGCGGAGTGAAGCAGAGGATTTCCAAACTGGTTTCAGGTTGATGAAGGCGTGCGTGTCTTGCCTGTCTTTCCGATCCTGACTGGCTTTGACATCTTCATCGTTTCAACTACAGGTGGAACGGATGTCCAACAGGTCAGTGTAGGCTTTTATCAGCAGATGCCTTCGCTGCATACTGAAGATCAAATAGTTTTTTTGGTATGTGGATATCATGATTATTTATTTGATTTTTTTTATTTTTGATTGTAGCTTGATTCCACACAGTATTTTTGGTACAAGTATGGAACTTTCAGCATATGATATCGGTAGTCCAAATTTGCAGGCCGACCATAGATATCAGGTGTGCGTCGGCAGGGGATCGAACCCCGGACCATGTGCATGGTCGACGAGAGTCCTAACCACTCTGCTACCGACGCACAGTAGTTGGTTATTATTCATTTCAGTGAGACATTTTGCAGTTGGAATGTGTATCACTCGAGAAAGCGATTCAAAGCTGAGCATTTTTCACAGTTATAATAGGTTTCTTCTGTAAATTACTTAACTGTTTATTATGTACTGCATTGGAATAAAAGGAGTCAGCCTACAACCTGGGGTAGACTACTTCGTCGACAATTGTTCAATAGATCGTTTGCCTTCTAGTGTTTTGTGTCTGTGTTGGAACAGCATGCTGGGACTGGTTGTCTTTCTGTTGCCTATGAGCCATTGCAGTTTAAATACGCGAAAGTTCTAACTGGCTTGTATAGAAGGGGGATGAAATTAGTACTTCCAGTAGAGTGTCATTTGGTTGAATAAATTTTGACCAAGTTTTCAACAGGTTGATGTGTAGACAGATACCCTCTCCCACAGTGTCACACAAAGATTTGTACAAATGTATCTTATGTTAAATGTCATTGCATAAAGTTGCAGTGTGACCACTAATCTGATTTCACGAGTCCTTAGAAGAATAGAATAGAGTAGGATAGTAAGTAGTTAGGGGGTTTACAAAAGGAGCATGGAAAATACCATAAGATCGTGTGGTACTTTGTAAATTCAGCAGAAACAGACTCTTGTCGATTTCTCTTCAGCTACGTACAAGCTTAAATTTTTCACCACTTTTATGTAGAGAGAGAGTGTGTGTAACTTCCTTGGAGATGTGATGTGATGCCAGTTCACAGGGAACTCGAGAAATAGTAAACAGTCAGACTTGTAAAAATGATGCACAGAAATTTCAAATGTAAACGAAAATGTTCCCTGACAATAGAAATTAAGTTGATTCATAGTGACGGGGTGAGTATTAGTTGGTGGTGTGTAGCTGATAAGCTGCGTGATCTAATGTGTTGAATTCAGATTGTTACAAGAAGAGACAAGCAACATCACCATATAGTTGAAAGGAATCGATCAAAGGAAAGGATTATGTATCTAAGTAACAGGGTAGGTCACAACAGTCACGAGTTATCACAGCACGGAAGGATTGATGCTGACTACATCTTTCTGAACAGATAAGTTGGGGTTTTGAAGGTTTCATGGCAGTTTTGTTCGGCGAACTTGGTGAGAACTTAATTATATTGTGTATTTCTAATCTTGAAGGATTTTAAGGTGTCCTTCTCATGAATCATATCAACGAGATGCATGTCTGGTAATAGCACTGTGGAAATACTTTATTCCTTTGAGGAATAGACTTCTCGACACATTTACAGATAATCTAAGGTGTGGTTGTTGCTATTGCATTATTCAGAGAGTCGAGATTTTATTGATTGGACACCGGTCATTCCTAGAGGATGTCAATAGCGAGCCTGAATAGCTCAGTGGTGGTAACGTCTCTGGCTCACTGCAGGCGGCACTGGATGACGTGGGTTCGAATCTCAGAAGGGACATGAGCGGTTCCTTCGAGGTGATAGATACGCCTTGATGACTGGTGAGTGCCAACTAGCACGAAACCTAGGTCGACCAAGTCTTTCTGTGATTGATTGCCTCCAGTCATCCAATAGTCCAGATTCTTCATGAAATCGATCAATATCTTCCGTCGCAAAGTGACAGGGTTGGAAAAATAAAGGCGAATCATTGTGATGATACTTTGTGACAGTGTGATTTCAGTGTTATGTGTATATATTGAGAGTGAATGAATAGGAATTTATGTGTTCAACTTAAGCTTATCGTTGTGGATTGTCTACGTTGGTTTGTAGTAATAGTCGATGCTGATTAGATCTACTGATGTCTAGACTGAACTATACTGGCGTTATTCTCCGATGCGAAATAAGTTTGTCGTAATTTAGAGAAACCACACGCTGGTGAGTATGACTACAGTGGGAAGTGATTTCAAACAGTATTTACCAATTAACGACATCTGATGTGATATCTGATGAATGGTATATGAAAGAGGAATGCAGTGGTGTACCAATGAACTTCATCCAGACTACGTTGGTAGACTTTTGTCGAGACTAAGGCTGTGTGAGCGAAACTGATTATCATGGAGAGACGCCTTTGAGCTTTCAGACAGTGTGTAGAAGGCACATGAGTAGTGTGTTGTTACCATATGTGTTCTGAATATATATTCTCCAATGTTTTCAGTAGTGCGTTTGATGATATTCGCCTGTTAGTAGCTACAAGTATAATCTAGGAGGCGTTTTTATTGTGATTTGGGGGGGGGGGACACTAGATGCCCCAGAATCCTAACTAGTATGGGTATGTTCCCGTTGAGAGTATATTTCAACCCGTCGATCACCACGAATTTCAGCACAGTAGGATCATCAATTCCCAGTTGAATCTCCACGTCAGTTTCATCAACTTTGGAAAAGCTTTCAACAGCATTGACGGCGATATAATTTGGGAGGGCCTAAATCTTTTTCAACCTCATCAGCAGCCTCCTATATGACAATTCTGCATGTCAGATGATCTACAATGGAAAATTCAGCGAAGCCTTTGAAGTGAAAATAGGAGTTAGATTAGTCTGACTACTCCGACCGATGAGACTCCTAACTGTGGTAGACTAGACTATGCGTCATACTGTGCATTGGGATTGAGAAGATAGGAGTACGTTGGTGTGATGAGGAGACTCAGAAAGATTTGTAACTGGTGGGTGATTTGTTTCTAATCTTTCAGAAACCCAAAGACATACAGGTGGAAACCAACAGACTGGCTGAAGAATCAGCAAAGACTGGACTTCAGGTGATAAAATCAGCCAACCAACAATAACAGCGACAACAACAAGCAGCACTATCAAGTGGAGAAGTTTGGAAGAGCCACAAGAAACAGGATTTGTTTCGTTTTCTCAATTTTATACCTATCGGTGGTTATTGATTTTATGGTGTAGGGTTGTTAGCCTCATATCCAACCTTCCCGCCTTACCCGACATACCACTGTTTAAGCTAGGACTGAATAATCTATCAGCTGGGAATAAAACCCCAGACCACGATTATGGTTTGTCAGCATTGTTGAACCGATGAGGCAAAAATTACAGGAGTTACTTGAGAAAATTACATCATGGCATGAATAGGAAAAATTTTTCAGAATCTTTTCTAAGGAATATAAAGACGTCTACCACAATTAGCCTAGGCTGTTGTTTTCCGTTTTTTACTGGTAACTTAAGTTAGCCAAAACTGAGGGGGACATTGATTGTCTCGGTATCACTAGCCATCTCCAGAAAGTACTCTGAATTACAAAGAAATAATCTTTGGACTTCATACTTATTGCGTTGTAGATCGGTGACAAGAGCCATAGAAACTATCATACTAAGATAGTTTATTTTTCTTGGGATTTATTTGATACCTCTCACATGATATGAAATGGTTATCTTTATTTTCTGTAACGTACAATGGTAAAGTCTATGTAACTGCCCATGTGGCCAAGATTTTTATTAATTTGATGATACTGTGTGTGTATGTGTGACTGTGAATCCCACCGAATAAACTTATCTAACATGGAAACGTATATTAAATTTGATTGGTTGGAGGATTTCATCATGAGCACATTGGTTGGTTAGAGAACCATTGGAAAACCAGCCACTGGGATTACTGCCAGACAGCTTTTTCGTCAGCCAAGTTTGGGACTGGCTCTTCATCAGTACGTACTCACCCCCCTGGGACTTGAACCCAGGACCTTCTGGTTACAAGGTGAGTGAGCTCGCAGACGATTAAGGCACTGGGACCCCCGGTGGGCGCGCACTGATGAAGAGTCCCAAACTAAGCCGAAACAGCTGTCTGGCGGTACTCCCAGACCAACCAATGTCAGTGCTCACGATGAAATCCTCCAACCAATCAAAAAGAAAATCCCCTACCAAAATCAGTACTTAAACATATTAAATTCCTAATTTTTCTATAATTTACTGCCATTTCGATATTTTTACATATTTTTTTAGATAACCTCAAAAACGCCAACGCCAACAAGTAACACTCACAGAGCACCATTAAAGTTTGTTATTTCATCACAAACCACCTGTCCAACAAAATCCCCTACCAGCCAATCAATACTCACATCAAACAGCGCATCATTATCAATTCCTCAAACAAAGAAAGATTCAATTCATTCAAAGACAAACATCCCTTCTTGGGGAGCAGAAATCCATTCTGACCAAATCGATTGTAGCAACATGAAAAAGTCTTTCCAGGAAAATCAAGCTAATTTATCTGAAACCGATGAAGAGATATCAAGTCTTAGTTCCGATATGAATGCCTCGCCTGTCCCGTGTGTTGATGTCTCCAGTGTCAGTTTGTCAAGTTCACAAAGAACAACACCAATTGAAGATCTCGATGATTCTATTAGTCTAACTGATATGGAATTATCTAATGAAAAGGCTGAGATGAATTCTGTTCCAAAGTCTACCAGAAGTATTCTAAAATCAAGATCCATATCGCCAAGAATATGTGTTGATCATACAACCTATGAATTTTCTCCGGAGGATTTTATTGATCCATTATATGGACCAAGGGATAGTGTGGAATTAGCTTCAGTTAGGTTTCAAATTGGTTATGCAGCGCCACCGCCACTACCAGCACAGCCACAGCCACCGACAAGCGCTTGTGACACAATTCCCAAGTCGGAGGTCATAGAATCACCACGTACATCACGGAAAACAGTACGATTTGCTGATGAAACAAACGATATTTATCAAACGGTTATAAATCCAATATTTTCAAATGTTTTCCCACTGAAAGTTACCTCTGAATCGTCAGATTTCATTACATCAGTATATAAAAATGATTCAATAATTCCTTCAGCGCAAACAATGGTAGCCGAAAATGAAGCCATAGAAAACAGTAGGTTTCATGACTATGGTATGTGTTTTATGACTGACTGATTGACTGTCAATAAAATTCAATACTGAGACACCCTAGGTTATCTATATTATTATTATTATCATTATTATAATTATTATTGCTAAGATTAATTACCTTGGAGAAATTATGTGAATGAAATGCTTTAAATCTCAGCTAAACTTTAAAAGCTCTTAAGGCTGTTTAAATGCGACAATTTTATGAGATACAGCGAAGATATTCATTCATTCAGACATTCATGAAAAACAAAAATTAAATGAGCAGTAAAGAGCATCCTTTTCGATAATTTCCTCCTCTTCCTCCTTTTCTGGCTCTACAATTATACATCTAGGTGCTTGTATACATGGAATGATATTCTAGTGTAGTAGGCGTCAATATCATCATCGATTTGTTAAGTGAGATCACAATGGAATTACAGACAGTTCACTAAAGATGCATAAATTATAATAAGAAGCATGAAATTGCAATAGCAAATAGAATATCATATAAAATTAAGAAAATCTCTACAACAACAGATTGAGAATCATTAGAGCCTTGATTGATGGCCAGCGGGGTAAGGACAATGTCTGAACTTCCTTCTTTTGGACACATAAATTAGGCTTCTTAATGTGGATTCGAACAGCCAGTCTCAGTAATATTTAGTAAACGAACTCTAACAGTGAAGTTAGGATTAATTGGTATGTGGTAAATGACTTCGAAAGCCGCCTTGTTAACATCAATCAATCTTTTGTTCTGTATCCACGAGATGAGTGAGGTAGAATAGCGCTACGAATAGATTTTGTTTGTCCTTTACTTAACCAACCACTGTGCAGGATGATGTTCGGAAATCATACGAGAAACACGCCTAATTGTGCGGCGTGTGTAACTAACTGGCTCACTTCATAGCGAAAGCAGTCAAATTGGTAGATACACATCAAAATGTTTTACCAATCAAGTGGTTATTTTAGTTAATCAGTTTTAGGCAGGGGGGGGGGTTAAATTAAGAGGTTGAAGGCCATTAAAACATCAATTAACTAATGGATGTTAGTAACGAGATATTTAAGTTTTGAAGGACGGGAAAAATAAGTCAATTACAGAATTTAAGATAAGTTGATCCTTAGGCGTTAGCAGCAACTTATTACATAATCAACAAATTTGTCAAAAAGCAATGATGACTAGGAAGAAGAATAGGATGACTCAGAAGATTCACGTAAAATACTAACACAAGTTGAAAGAATTAGCTAGAGTTGTAAAAATTAACAAAATCAAAAGATAGTTACAAGGGGAGAGGAAAAATCGTCCTAAAATTCTTAATACATACTATTTAGTTGGCCATCGTAAAGAAAGGGCTGTACAAATTTTTTTTGGACACACACACTGATTCAGCTTGTTCAGATGAATTTCGATTGCCTCTACTGTATGTATGTAAAAGTAGTACTCGTAGACCATCCGGTGAGAGGTTGGGTGAAATAAGATTAATAAATAACTTTAAAAGCTTTGTTAGAGTAAATCGATTTGATGTGCATTCACTATCGACGAGATGAGCTAGTAGTGAGCTACTTTATTCGAACTAAGATGGGAAGTGTTAAGAAATTCGATAGTGACCTTGCCTGATCGTACACCCGATGTAACTAGCGCAGCATGGGCAATTAAGTTGGTAAATACACCTTGGAAGAGGCGAAACAGGACGGTTTATCGTTATTTTTTGAACTAAGTATTGGTCGGCTAGTGAATATACAGCAGCAGCAGGTCGGGCGTGAGGACAAATACTCGCCGAAGACATTGGCTAGGGGTCGCGCTATGTCGTGAATTGGCAGAAGTTAGAATTCATGGACCATTGGATCGGGTCCCAGTGGCTTAATGGTATACGAGCTCGCCTTGTAACCAGAAGGTCCTGGGTTCGAATCCCGGTGGGTGCGTACTGTGAAGAGTCCCAAACTAGGACGAAACAGCTGTCCAGTACTCCCAGGTTTTCCAATGGTTCTCTAACTGATGTCAGCTCATGATGAAATCCTGTAACCAATCAAATCCCTACAAACCAACACTTGAAAATATACAGCATAGCTGAGCTGCGTTGAAAGTCCTTCTGAAGGCCCTTCTCACACGTTACAATAAGATCTCACTACTGACATCACCCATGAATTGGAATCTTAGAAATCGTGATTTTGTTTCGAGAACGTTGGGTGCTTTTGTCTTTTTACTTTCTGATTTCATGTATTTGTTCAAAAATTTAGTTGGATATCCGTTTCTACTTGATAGATCACGATTATTACCGAGTTCTTCGTTCATCACTGTCTCATTTGAACAGATTATTTTAGCCCAGTGAAGCAGATATCTAACCAGATTATGTTGGTATTGTAGACGACCTGCACAAAGTTAGCGGATTTATATTTTGATGTAGTTGTATTCTCTGAGCTACGTGGATGGTTTATTTGCCAAGCTTTCATTGCCCTACTGGACAACATCTTCAGTTGATACTTCAATTTGAATTGAAGTGAACTTTGAGATTTCTCCACGAGTTTATTAGTCATCTATCCTAGTGGGTGGCCTGGAACGTGATTCATTGTTTTTGTGTATCTTCACAGCCTCTAGACCACTACTTGTATTAGTACTGATTGTTTCCTTGACCCGAAGTTCCACCCTTCTTGTGTGTGTGAGGTTTCCTCCTAATCGATTGGTAAATTTTGTATGTGTCAATGTGTCTATTAATTGACGATTCATTAGAATACCAGGCAGACTTCTAAAAATTTTCTAGCATTCTTGGTGTTGTTTCCTCTGTCTAATATTTGAACACTGGTTGTCCCAGTCGAATTGATGTCCGTAGTTGTCTGCATGCAGTGATATGAGGGATTGGATGTCATGTTTTTTGACGGCTAGTTTATGATCACTTTGGCCAATGCAGTGGTTTTCGCCATCGTTGCAATTTATTTTGTAGATGATGTTGGTTTTATCTTCTTTCGGTGTTGAGTCTGTTTTTCGGTGGACACAGAACCAGTTGAGTGAAGTGATTTTGTTGGTTTGTGCGGGACGTCAGTTCCTCATCAAGGTTTGAAGAGTGTTACAGTGATTTCTGAGTTATCTATTATACATAGGGCGATTTTCTTTGTGCTTTCTTCAGGGGGCCTTTGATTTGGTAGTTTGGCTTGGTCTGGGGTAGATGTCTCTTCATGAAGTTCCCTGGACATCCATTCTTTAGGAAGATGTCCATAAGATATTTTTCTTCAACTTTCCTTAAGGTAGGAGTGCTGGAATGTGTCCTAGCTGACTGGCTGTCTTGAATAGTGTTTGTTTACAACTCCTTTTGTGTGTTATTTGATTGTTGCTGTTGTTGACATTGAGTATTCGATCTGTGTGAATTGATTTTCTAATTTATTTGTGGTTATTCGCTTGACTAAGACGTCCAAAAATGGAATTTTATTCTAGGATTCCTCTTCTCTTGTAAATTTGATATCGTTGAAGACATTGTTTATTAAGTTGTGACTTTTATCCACCTCGTTTCTTTCGATTATCACGAATGTAACGTAACGTATTCAAATTTTGGGTTTGACTCTCGTTAGGATTATGTTTTCGGATGTGAAGACACACAGAAACAACGAATCATGTTCAAGGTCATCCATTAGGAGAGATGACTAATAAACTCGTGGAGAAATCTGACAGCTAACTTCAATTCAAATTGGAGTATGTCCTGAAGATGTTGCCTTCCTAGAAGGTCAATGATGAAAGCTTCACAAATAAACCATCCAGCCAGCTAGCTCAGGGAACACAACTACATCAAAATCATCCAACAAAGCTACAAATCTTCCCCATCATATCTAATGAATTTATAGTTCAAGTATTGGTTTGTAGGGATTTGATTGATTTGTTACAGGATTTCATCATTAGCTGACATCGGTTAGAGAACCACTGGAAAACCCCGGACACACCGACAGGGTTTGAACCCAGGATTTTCTGGTTACAAGGCAAGTGAGGTAGGTCGTAGACCATTAAGCAGCCACCTACTGGAACCCGATCCAATGGCCAGCTATCCAGTGCATGAATTCCAACTTCTGCAAATTCACGCACGACATAGCGCGACTGGTACTAGGCAATATTATCGCTGGTGGCGAGCATTTATCCTCACGCACCCTACTGTTTACAACTTCTTGCTAGAACCCTGAATAGGTCCAGTCTCTAATGGGCATCTCATCGATATTCAAGTGTTGGCTTTATTAGTGATTTGATTTGATTGATGTGTGACAGGAGTTGTAGTTACTTATCCACTTTCTATACATTTTTTCTCTGTATTGAGATTCTACACCGCCAACATCTTCACAATTTATATCCGTCAGTATTGGATTCCCACAGAATGAATTCTTCAAATTTATCAACACGAATACAATGAATCCAACGACTGATGATACTGAGGTTTATTCCGAAAAAAATGAATATACCACCTTGAATAATACTCCAAAATTAGATGACAGGGAAGACATATACACAAGTCAGTATGAAACACTCAAGCCATCGGAGGAGGTCACCACCACCACCACTCCTCTGCCTCCTCCTGCTTCTAAAACACAATCTAAAGTGTTGCAAATATCTTCAAAACGAATCAACAAATTACAAGGCTATGCTGATCTTATGATAGGCAGACCGAAATTGAATAAAGATTTTCTAATACCACGTCAACAATTACTTACATACAGAGTTTCAATCAGTCCTTTATTTCATCAGCAACAACGACCATCAAATGTTAATCGACCCATGAATTCTCTGAGCAACAATCATATTTCTACAAATTTGGAAAGTGTATCAAGCTCACCGAGTAATCTATTTTCTGATATGTCTAGTAGGCATACGTCTGTGCGCAGTCCGATCAACACAATGACAAATTCACCTACCTATGATACAACTGGCTATTCATCTTCTGATACAACAGTTAACATTGAAACGGGTAATAATGATGATGATGCTGCTGATGATGACGATGTGAATCTACCTGATTACGAAGGAATCAATATACCTTTCGAAAATAACAATCATGATAATACTACTACTACTCATGTAAGCTACCCAGTTGTGTAACCCCCGCCCCTTTTTCTTATGTTTGTATTCATTTTGATAAAGTGTCACACACGCAGTGTGTGTTATACATTTTTTTTTCCTTCACGTTCCCCACTGGAACATAGGGCTTCAAGCTAGTGGCTTGAAGTTTCTGTAGCAGTGTTTATTTTACAGGATGGGGTTGCTAGCCTCATGCCCGTGTGTTATACAGTGATATATATTTACTGATGATGCCACCACACGATTCCAACACAGCTTATTATTACTACTACTACTCATGCAATCAGTCAGGTGAGAGAGCTGTCATCTAAAGTGCTGACAACCAGTGGTATCCGACAGAGATGCCCACTATCTCCATTACTATTGAATTTCATCATAGATATCATACTAATGGGCTTAACCCTAACTCACTTCAGAGACTCAGGGATTGAGTTGTTACCATCAGGGTATAATCTCGTTGTCTTAGAATATGCAGGTGATCTAGTCCTTCTAGGTGAAGATGCTGACAAAATACAGCAGAGTCTTCTGAACACCTTGAGCTGCAATCTGCGAATGTTTGGCATGCGATTCACTCCCGCAAAATGTAAGATGATGCTACAGGAATGACTAGACTACATTGACTCCTAGCTTACAAATGGGGAGTGAAGTGGTAGCCAGAGCGTGTTGACCACTTCACTTATTTGAGAAGTTGCATCAGGCCCAATGGGTTGATCTCATCGCTGACTAAATCCCAGAACTGATACAGAAGGTTAGTTTCACATATGCCAATTTACATCGTCTCTGGCTTAGTAGACGTGATATACGGCTATAGACTGAAGGGCGTGTTTGTACTGCTCAGCAATCCGCTCGGTCCTCCTTTACGGCTGTGAGACCTGGTCATTGAGAGTGGAAGACATGGAAAGCCTTACTGGCTAGCTAGCTGTCTTTGATCATAGGTGGCTGCGTTCTATCTCCCGTGTTAGGTGGTGGTATACTAGGGTGAGCAATATTGAGGTGAGGCATAAGTCGGTCGAGTGGTAGGTAGGTGGGAGGGGAAATCAATAGATGAGACTGTGAAGCTACATTGACTGAGATGGTTAGGACATGTTTAACGCATGCGTGACTAGCCATCGCCTTCCTCGACCAACAGGCAATGTTAGCTGACATAGGATGCATCAGGTTGGAAAAGAGCTAGCTGCGGTCAAACCAAAACATGGCTTCATCAGTCAATGAAATCCACACTAGTTAGTTTAAGCCAGCCACGTAGGAAGGTGTAGACGTCCTGGTTGGGGTCCTCGGGACGGTTAAAACCAATGAAGCCTGAAGACAATCGGTGATATGGCTCAAAATCGTTCTCAATGGTGCATACGCATCCACTCCTTGTGACTTATTATTTTCCAATAAAAATAAATTGTTCTTTGTCTTTACTATTCTTTTTGCCTCAAATCTCTGTTTAATTTCTCTAATTTGCATTTCTTTTTAATTTCTTCTCTTGCTTTGTGTGCTACATGGAGTGTGACGACTTGAACTGCTGCACATCGGTGCAAAGTTCTATGTTGAAAACAGACAGACAAACTACTACTCATAAATCATCAAATCAAGGCATACAACTCACACTACTCACTTTCTTGCGTTGTTGTTCATATAAATCATGAGTAAAAATTGATTAGGACCCTGTGGATCCAATTAAAGAAAATAATATAATTTACAAAATATCTTGCAATGACTGTGAGTTAGGTGAACTAGCTACATAGGTGAGTCAAACGAGTAGATCAGGTGTGGAGTAGTGAGACTGCCTGTCAGAACATAAGAATTTAGCTACGGCTAGAATGATTGATCCCACCCAGTGGAGATAAGTAATTTAGAAAAAATAACTCAGCACTACATTGCACTGTAACAGCAGAAGGCAAGACACAGAAGCCAAGGTATATTTTCCATTGATCACATTATATCTATACAGTTTATATTCTTTAATTAATCACTGAGCCAACGTGTGATTCTGGTTTACATTAAACGGCGTGAAATAGAATGTTCAAAAAGATATATGGTATTCTGTTGCTAATGCAGTATTGAACTGTGAGAATAATATTCCGTTGGAACACACTGTATCACACCACCACAGCACTGCACGCATTAACACACAGCCACGCAATAGGGTGAGTGGGGCAGAGTCAAAATTCTAAAAAGTCATATAAGTAGGTGGATGTAGAGAGAGATAGATAGGTTACTCACTGAATCCTAGTTCATCCAGTCTACCAACACTCAACACATCACACCACAACACCACAGATGCAACAGAAGTTACTCATCATCATCGCCAGCTAATACTAGAGATATGCAAGATATTATTACCACCAGTCAGTCAATAATTCAAATCAGAGCAGGATAATAAATAATCTTAAATTGTATTCTATTTCAATTCACATACACATTCTAACAACAAGTTATTTATTTATTTTGCTATAAAAATACTCGTCTTATTCCCCTTCCCTTCCCATCATCTGACTGTATTTGACTGATTGATTGACTAATAAAACTAATATCATTATTATTTCCGAATGTACTTTCTTCTCATCTTATATTACTGATTGATTTGATTCAATCAAATGTTGTCTAATCATCATCAATTTCTACTTATGCATGTATATAAACGACGAAGCAAGAAAGTGAGTAGTGTGATGAGTAGTGTGCCTTGATATGATTATGATTATGAGTAGTAGTGGCAATGATAAATTGTGCTCGAAGCGTGTGTGTGGTGGCATCATCAGTAAATATTACTGTATAACACTGTGTGTGACACTTTATCAAAATAAAACATTTTCTCCATCATGGAGTTATACTCTGTGTACCACCACAGTGCCGCCCAAGTTTCATCCTTATCGTTTTATTTCAATTGACAGACTCATGATGCATGGCTTTAAACTAAGCCAATATATATATATATATATATATATATATATATATATCGTATTTCAAATATTCGCTGATTACGTAACACAGTGAAATGCGTTTATATAATTAATTGTAGTGACACACACCATTCATTGATTGTACCTGTAGATAGAATTCTGATGTCATTATTGAAGTCGGCAATGAAGTGTACATTCAGTTGTCAAATTCACATGTGAGAAGAGGAATTCCAAAATAGAATTAAACTGCCTTTTTGATTGGACACTAGTTAGTAACGAGTGTAATGTATGTGTCTTTGTGCGTGTCTAGTCCTATCTCTTTGGTACAGACTGAATTCTATCAGTCAGTCAAGTTTGCAATGTGGTCACCTACAGGCTGGGTGGCTGGCTCGCCATCACGGTGCACTGTGAATCGTTGCTATTAGATGGTTGGAGGCAATCGACAATCGGTGATGGCAAGCCAGCCACTAGTCAATTCAGTCAGTCCTACAGGAGGTCAATCGCGAGCCAACCCGAATAGATGTTAACGTCTCTGACTCACTGCAAGCGGCACTAGGTGACACGGTTTTGGATCTCAGAAGAGAAATGAGCTGTTCCTTCAATGTGTTTGCAGATAGGCCTTGTTGACTGACTGGTGAGTGACTACTAGCATGAAACCTATGTCAGGCAAGGCCTGCTATGGCCCATTACCTCCAATCATCTAAAACCAATCAATTGCCTTCCTAGGCGTCTTCCTTACAAGAAAAACAGATGGTAGTATAAACAGAAATTTCCATAGGAAAAGCACATGGACAGGCTCTTCAGCAGTACGCCCCCACCACGGTGAGTTGGAACCCAGGACCTCCTGGTTACAAGGGGAGCTCAAGTTCAATCAAAAATAAATGCTTGGATATAATAGTAAAGGAGTTCAGCAATACGGATAAGAGGTGCATAGGAAGATAATAAGTAACTAATGAATTGAGTTCAACTCAAATCATATAAATATATTTAGGCAAATAAAGTTATCTTAAATCAAAGTGGGGGAGAGAATAAAGACAAAAATGGCACAGCCACCGAACACGTTTTCTTTTATACGACTCAATGGGAATTTTCACGTCGATCGCGATTACCTTGCAAAAACTTGAGGCGAATTCAGCTACTTTGTCTATTTGTAACTTTGAAGAATTCCGTGATGTCCACCTCATCAGCATTACCGATGAGATGTCTGAAAAGGCCACTACTGTGGACGTTTGCTCTCCTCAGATATAGACATTTTGGTAAAAGTGTAACGACAGAAGACAAGGGTCAGGCAACAGATCGTTTATTGAGAAAATCAACAGATATTTATAGATTTTATGTATATTATAATTCGGTATTGTTAGCAGAGAAGTAACGTCTTCTGAATGGCTCTTTTCCTGCTGAAGGTTATTCTGTCATCTCTTTGTCGCCGTGTCTTAGACAGTCCGGTGATATATCTGTGAATTATATCGGCCCACGTTAAATCTGCTGTGATTGGTTGTTGAGTTCCTCAAGGTTAGGCTTTGTTCTTGTTTTTTCTGATGACCCCGATTTATGACGTAAACAATGACGTAAATTTCTGTCTACCAATTTTGGGTAGCAGACAGCTCTCACCACACAAGTACAGAGAATCGAAAGCGAACCCTTATTATTTCTATTCTCCCAAGTTAACTCCTACTCAAGCTACCTGTAAATTTGTATACACAGTTCGAGTAAACATCACCAAGGTAAGGTATCTATCTATCTCTGATTTCATCAACGAGCATGTTGTACATCTTCCGTCCTTATCAATGATATCAGTGACAGGTTGGAGAGAATTACTAGTTGCTAGCTAAGTTGACTCTCATTAAAAACTTAATGAATAGTTTCAGCACACGTGTTATTATATTATTATTATTATATTGTTCCCTTGAGTTCTGAGTGGAAAATAAAGCTGACTTCAACAACACATATCCACTTTCTTCTATTTTCTCCTGTTCTCTTCAGCCGGCTAACTCCGCGATTGCCCATAATCTCTCATCTTCTCCAACTCACACGGTCTCCTCCATGTCACTTGACCTTGACCTGAAGTATGATCGGCCCTTTGTGTGTGTGTGAGATTTCCTTCTAGTGGGT